AAAAAAAAATACGTAATTCACGTGTACAAATATTTTTTACCCAAAAAGGAGATATTTTGGAATACTTCAAATAATTTTAAAATCATAAATCTCCGGAGGAGGAGAGGTGGTGTGTTGGAACACGAGCCTAGTGGTAACACTATATGCTGAAACCACTATAGACCAAGGTTGCGGACGGAAATCAACGCACGTAATTATTATGCCATTTGATGTGTAGATAATGATAATGATCTCCAATCACCAGCCATCACATTCCCTCTTTCAATAAGTATAGAGCAGTTAATTTTGTGAATGTATCTGAATTGGTTAAAACTAACTTCAAAGCTTATTAATTTGTCTCTCTCTTGAGTTTTAACAACAGAGAAAACCAATGGCTATAATTCCCATTTTGAGGTTGTGAGAAGAATTTTCCATAACAAGTAAAGGAAGCAGTACATGTACTTTCTAGTTATGATATTCTACGTAATGATGATTATTCTATGCATAGACGACGGGATTCATTCAGTTACCGGTGGTTTCTTTGCGGACCAATTTGGAAAGCTTGGCAAATTATAGGGCTCGATCATTATGGAGGTACTGGACCTGAAGTCTGGATCATTTGTTCCAGTATCAAGTGCAATAAAACAAAAACAAACGTAAAACCCCAAACAAAGCAGAAGAGAAGTGAGTAACATTTTTGTTAATTTATACTCTTCCAATTTGAGATGCTCTGCTAGATCGTTTCTTTCTTTGTGGATAAGTCATGATGGAATCTCTTTGTGTAGAAATAACTGACCAGTAGAGAAAACCTAATTAACGCTGGAACATATATATTGTTCTAAAAGACTAAAACGGATTACTCCGAGTTCCTTATTATACTCGAGTTCTGAATAGGTATTGGACATTGCATCCTTGAGGTTATAACTTATGAATAAAATCCATATAGCCATTATCACTCAATCGTTACTAATCCTTATAGAACTTCTTGTTACTTGGGACATTGGAGGACGTCGGGCTTACTTGCATGCACAACATAATCCTGATTAGGCTCGTCTTGTCTTTCAATTAAGGAGATTTCAGTCCGACCTCACAATGAATTCAAGTCTTTAAAGTTTAAAATCTTATCATATAAAACCAATAAATATTCATAACCAAACTGTCTTCCTGTCTAATAATAAACACACAACAACATAAACATGTACTTAAACGTACAAGGACTTGTTGATGCAACTCTCATCACTCTGCTCCATCAACATCGATCACCTTAAATAGACTCTCGCTCATCTCTATCAACGAAACGTTAATGTTTGATTTCTCCTTGTTTGACCAGTATTCCGGTACACCTTTGATTTCGATCTTTTGCAAATCATTGCTTTGCAGATCATAATAGAGAATGTGAAAGGGAAAAAACCAACGCCTTGGTATGAAGAAAAGCTTGCCATTTTGAGTTGTACCTTTGACGTTGAATATGGTGCCATTGATCAAATGCAGCTGACAAGGCTGCAAAGCCATAGTCTTCCGCAACCATTTCTTGTTCCGAGCGTCTTCCACAACCCATAAATCTAGCAAACCCTTGTTTCTAAGATTGGTTTGGTCAATGACAGTTACTTTGCCACAATACTCTATAACACTCACATCGTAGAGTCCTGCAGACATGTCGTCCCTATGAGGTAATTGGATGGTTTTGAACTCTTCAGATCTAATGTGGAAACTCACAACCGCACAATTGTTACTACTAGTCCAACCCAGGTAATATATAACCCCATCGATACACACTCCTCCTCTGGCTGGAAGGTGAGGACAATAGTCCAGTGGAGTTGGAGCCACCTTTTTCCACGAACCTCGGACAAAGACCCAATGCTCTGACCTCATCTCTTGCAAATCTTTAAAGTTTACACCAGTTGAGCAGACCACTTTGTAGTGGCCGTTAACAGGGTCGTATCCATAATAGTAGGAAACAATTTTTGCACTTACTCCTGAAGGAGGTGTGATCTTGGAGGATTCGAGGGCGGCGGGTAAGGTGACGAGCTGTCTTGTGGCAGGGTTAAAGATCTGCGGCTTTTCCCAGGAGGTGTAGCACATGAAGCCACGAAGACTTTGCAAGAAGTAGCATCCCCTCTGCAGGATGGTCAGACCGTGGTCAACTACAAAGGAAGAGGGAGTAGTAGTGTTGTCTAGAGTCAATGATAGCATTACATCTTTGTGGCGGTCACTAGGATCCAGCAAGCACATGTAAATACGAGGACGACGTCGTTGGGTGAGGAAGCGGTTGCTGAAATATGGTGAGTTGATGTGAGATGACCAAAGCTTGGAGACAGAGTTGAATCTCATGAGTGATTTAGCAGGCAGTCTCGTAAGAATCTCTTCATTCACCAAATGCATAGGAAGAGGAATCTCTGGTCGTATTCTTCTCTTCTTTCTCCCGATAAGCTCTTCCTTAGCAGCACCGAGCTCTCGATCCTCAGGACTATCATTCAAATTATGCTTCCTAATTAACCATGGACGTCTGTCATGAAAACTGAGTCCAACCTCTCGGTGAATCTTGCTTCTTCCAGACATTGAGAGAATGGCACTTCTCTAGTAAAATGAAAAACAAGCAGACCTCAAAACCATATCTCGAGTTACATAGCAAAATCAAATTTTTTTTTTAAAAAACAGCAAAATTCACTATACATACATATAAATTCACTCCAATTCAATTGAGAAACAAATTTCAAATCAAACCATACAAACAAGCATGCAAAGATGCGTTTTTGACCCCCAAAACAAAAAGATACGTTTTTTTTTTTCCAGAATCATGCGCTTGCTCAAGTAAGAGAGAAATGAAGTTGTATTCTCAGATCAACTAAAGCTAAAATCAAGCTAAAATTCGAGTTGTATTGATCAACAGATCCACAATTGAACATATTTATCATGAGCAGATCAGTTTTGGGTATTGAAAATTCAAAAGAACGATAAAACAGAGAATACGAAGAACGTTAAACCTTTTTCTGATGATGCAGAGGTTGATTATCGTCTTCTTCTTCTACCTTTGTTGTTTTTGGAGAGATGTAAAGGAGGAAGAAGAGGATACAAAGGTTAAACAATATTGGGGTCTGCGCCATTACGACGTCGTGTTGATAATCTTCCGTTTTCCGTGGTTTATTGGGCTCTAAATGGGCCTATTTGTTTCTAAACTTGGGCTTCATTTGTACACAACCAAATACCTCATGGGGTTTTAATTCAGGAGAGGTTTAATAATAATAGTATAATACTAAATTACAAATTTCTCATTCCTCAAGTCAAATTTCTGTTACAACAATACTCCATATATTAACTTCCCACGCATTGCGACATGAATTTTAAAATTTACATGATAAAATATATAATAGTTTTTAGCTTATTAATTATTTGTAAATTTAATATTAAATTTATTTTGTGTTTATTATAAATAATTATTTAGATTCGAAAACTAAACATTTGTAACAAATTATTGATACAATGTTATATGAAAAAATATCAACATTATTTGGCTAATAACACTATATACATCATCACTTAAACAAAATATATAGTTCCAATAATATCATATACATTATTTTTTTTTTGAAACTTACCATATACATTGTTATCGTTCATATTGTTTGGTTTCGTTACAAATCGCAGCACTAAATATTGGGCTTTATGGTTTAAAAATTAATTTGAATAATTTGATATTTATACATTGTTATCATTCAATTTTTTTCCTTAAAATCTCCAATATTTATTTTTTAATTAAAAATCAACATTTCTGAACATAGATGATTTTTTCTTCATTATTAAAATTGTAAAACAAATATAGTGAAATTGAAATTACATTTACGAAAAGAAAATACGTTTTATATATTCAGAATGTCTCATGTACAATTGAGAAAAAAAAAAGAGAAAGTGGTATTTATCATATCACCGAGTATCAAGTTTTCCTAAACATGGGTTAATGAGGTATTCGAAAAATATCATTTTCGATTTCATAATTATAAGTATAGATAGATGAGTGTGTTTATGTTCATGTGTGGTATCTATAATCTCAACCTTAGTTTTTAGTGGTTTATTAATAATTA